ATATAGTAATAACACTATTCTTGAACGGGAAAAACAAAAAATAATAAAAGCCAAACTAATGATCTGTGGAAATAAAATCATTTAAATTTTAGTACCTGCAATGGCACCACCACAACGACCGAAGCAAGATCAGTGAGAATTTTTTTTTTCCTTTGTGTTTATATAGAGAGGTAAAGAGAATATTTTTGAAGTTGAAATTTTATCCAATTAAGATGTTGTTGATCATCACTAATGAACAGATTGAATATGCTAATAGAAAAGGAGTATATTTCACAACATATTCTCAATTAATGATTGATCAGGAATTTATTTATTTTTAATTGTAAAGAAGGGATTGATTAAGGAGTCGATTGTCGTGGAGATGAGGATGAGAATTTGGGTTTTTTATGAACCTGTGATTTTTTTTTGTTTGTTTTGACGAAAATAGGAGGTGGAAGTGAATTTAGACTGCATTTGCCTTTTAAATTTAGGAGATGTGGTAATAAAAATTTATTTTAAAAAATGATGTGGAAATGCCACATGGCGAATGATGGTGCTTTCTCTTAAGTGTGGTTTTTGTTTCTAATATAGTAAGATATACTATACTAAGTCAAAAACTAGAGAGAGAAATCTAAAGTTAAGGAGCACATGTCACATAGGATTTTATCATATGTGGCATTTTCTTAATTTTTTAGATATAAAAATGCACAAAACAAAACAATAAAAAAAAAAAAACGCAACTGAAAAAGTCCAAACTCTATATTGATTCGACCAAATCCCTGCAAATCCAATGGACGGATCTCTTCCTCCTAAAAAAAAAATCCAACTGAAAAAGAATTTTATATTAATAATTTATTAAAATAATTAAAAAAAGTTAGGCCAACCTGAAACTTCTATAATTTAGCTTCAAATATGGAATTGAGTTAAAATACTATGGTGATGGGTTGATGTAGAGGGGCTAAGAAATCAAAAGGCACTCCGAAACAAGGAATAAAGGTCCGATATCCAACTTTTCTTATTTTTAAATTTTTCTTATTAAAAATTGGATGGCCTCTACAACAAGTTAGGGTTATTGTTTCGTAGTAACCATTCCTTATCATAAATCTTTTCAAAAAAAAAAATTCCTTATCATAATTTCTTAACCACCCTAGCCGACCTTTCTACCCCAAACTACCAATGTAGTCTACCAAGAAATATTGCAAGATGTATAATTATTTAATTCAAAGTTCTTTTTTTAATTTCTTAACAATCTTTTTGCGTTAAATAAATTACAGTGTATTCGTTTGGTAAAGTGTTGTCGATGTTTGTGTTTTATATTTTTAAATAAAATTATTATATATTTTATAAAAATACAAAAATCAATACAAATATTAATATTTTTTTTATTTGTTTGTGTAGTAATGTTTATGTTTGTGTAGTAATTTTTTTTATTTGGACGGGTCTAACACCTAGTGAAATACTATACAAATAATACGCAACATTTAAAACATAAATTGGGAAAAGAAGAAAAAAAAAAAAAAAACCTTGCACTTTACTATGTTATAGTACCTTTTGCTCAAACGCAAAAACAAAATAATGGAATATTGCGATTCTGGACATGTTTCTTTTCGCCGACAACCGGTGGTTAACTTTCTTGTGAGTTATCCACTGCTTCACAGGTCCACGATGAGTCTAAATGACTCCCAATTGATATCATCTTCGCACCCTCAGAAATAGCTTTCTGTGGAGGAAGAATTATGTTTGTCGATTTCATATTGACTAACAATATTAAGAAATGGTATGGGAAAGAAAAATTTGTCTGCACGGCTGCACCGCAGAACATCATAACTCCAATTGTTTTGAATTAGGATCATGCATAACTAAACCAACAAAAAAAAAAAAAAATTAAATTTTTCTTCTTTTTTGGAACTGTTTCAGTTTCCTTCTAGATACGAACGTGAAGTTTTTGAAGATTTGGAATAACTCGAGAGTTTTTGGGACATATAATAAAGAAAGTGAAGAAAAAAATGGAGAACGTGGGATTCTAATGATGGTAGTTCCGATTTTAATCAAGGTTTGGAAATTAATTTTTGGTAATTGTTATAATTTTGTCATACTGTGCTTTTAAGAATAGTTTGACATTTAGAATTTTGGGCTGAAATTTAGGAGAGTTTGACACTTGGATTTTTAAGGAAAAAGTGGTTTTTGTTATAATGGGAGTTGTTACTATTATTATTATATTATAGATTATAGATAGATTTTGTTTATTTATTTATTTTGGTAATTGTTTTTTTCAGTTGGTGCGTTATTAGCATGCTGGGGTTTATTTTAGGAGGTAATATACTACTGTTCTTGAATTCTGATCTTAAATTACTGGCATTATGTTTTGGACAGTGAGAGTGACTACGACTTTCATTATTCAAATGGAGAAAAGTCTTGGGCCGATGTGTATGGCCAGAAGAGCAAATTCAGAACAAATTTTAAACTCAAATATAGAGACTTCGTAATAATTTCAAAACTATCTTTTGATGTAACATATTTTTCATAGCATCTAAATAAAGATTTACGTGAAAAAACGCGAGATTATTTTATGCTTAAATCGTACAATTTATTCTCAATTGGATACCTAATTAGGAGATGGTCATTTCTAAAAGAAAGGGACTCCTTAACATGTACATTCGGAATATCTTTCGTTTAGGTCATGACGAAGATAATATAAACAATTTTGTTTTATTAATAGACACTAACGAGGCGAATACCTATAAACTTAAATGGTTACATTATGTGAGCGTAAAAAAATAATTAAATCAGAAGTCTCGAGTGCCTTTTATAGAAGATCGATATGTAATTAATAAAAAATATATATTTTTATGATGACTTTGTTTTAAAATGTAATTTTATTTTGTACAACTATAAAAATTATGAGAAAAAAATAATTTTTGAAATTTAATATTAATAGAGAGATTGTAAGGAATACAGATAAGCTAAATTTGTGTTGTTGGAGCCAATGAGTATTTAAGGATAAATTTTAGAAAATATTTTTTTTGGATCAATGAATTAAATTTAAGAATTCATTTTTCTTTTAATTTTTTTCTTTGTTTGAAATAAGAAAATTGTTTTTTTTTTACTTTATTTTTCATGAGAAAAATAAATTATCTGGCTGCCATTTGTCCTTCCCGACAACTATTTTAAATAAGTACATAAAAGAAACTAGGTGTTTGACCGTGCATTCTAATTCAATTGATCGAATTTATTATCACTTTGGCATCCAAGTTATCTGAATTGAATGTCTACCCTAGAAAAGTCAGCAACAGCTAAGTGATATTTGGGTGAGTACACCATTCTTGCGTGCAAATCCCCTTTGTCAATAGTTTTTTTGCTACTTTTTTGCTCTAATATTTTGTATGCCCATAAAACTGGAAGTTTGAGCAGGAATCATCACGTTATTTGATATTAGGGCATGCCACACCAACCGGGATTTCGTTGATCCCAACAGGACTCCGGAAAGAAATTCCCATTCTCTGAATCTAAATTTTGATATAGCTGGTGGACTAATTTCATTAATTTCTAGATGTTATGTAATTGAATTATGCTAAACTTTTGCAATCTAATTCAACAGAATTGAGAAGTCTTATTGCTTTCTTTGCTCTTCTTATCGTGACAACGGGCAAAGAGCTTTTTGGTTTAATTATGCAGAAATTTGATTTCCAATATTGGGTTGATGCCTCTACAATCATCTGGAGCAACCAGAGCAAGGACTTGTGGGGATTTAATGTTGCCTTCATAGACAAAAAATTGAACCAGAGTTGACTTTGATGTTGCCTTCGTAGGATTTTCTATGACATTATGCATGTGTTACTTTTTATAACAAGTTGTTAAACACATTTCAAATTTTTTAATGATGTAGAGTGTAATACAAAAGTGTTGCAGAAAATTTTTTACTATAAAATATAAAGAAAATGATATGTTTAGTGATAAATATATAATGAAAAGAAATAATGACTAAGTTAGCTACGCATTTTGTAACACTTTGCCATCGAAATTATATCTTTTTCTTTAAAATTATATTTTTGACTTAATTATTGTGGATAATTATATCTTTTCCTTCAAAATTACATTTTTGTCCTTAATTATTGTGTACACATCAGTCACTGTGAATTTTCACCGTAGTTATTTACTAATAACTATAACACTGCTGCAATTTTAACTAGATGACACTAAGAAATATATTCAACTCGTATACTAGATATTACAATTATAACATGCAAAAGCAAGAGGAGAAGGAATATTTCTACTTTTCTATTTACTTGGGCGTATGTGTGGAAACCAGTGAGGTTGTTGGACATGGATTCCTCCTCTCATTCTCCTTAGGAGATGATACCGTAAGACATTTCCATAATATAAAGGGTTTTCCCATAATGTTTCCAACGAGCCTTGTATGTAAGACGGCTCTGGCAAAACTTTCTTACTTGTGGTTCCGGTGTCATACTCGTTAGTCTTCCGAATGTTTTACGTATCTTGATATATGTATAAATTCAATTGTATATACAAAGCAACATCTAATACTTTTCTCAATTTTTTTTTTAAAAAAAAAGAGCAACTTTTGGTACTGTTTTGAAGTATTTTTTATTTCCTTTTGGAGGTGTACAAGAAAGCAAAAACCTTTCAAATATTGCATGTAAGTATTCTCTTTTTTTAATAAGTTAAGACATCGGAGATGGATGATGTAAAGCTTAGATTGGGATTCGCTGGAATTAAGTTTAGCAGCAGAAGTATATATTACATGGGTTAAGTCGACAAATTCATGTCGAGCATAAACAAGAACTGGTCGAGACAAGTACATGACAACGTTGACAGTTTTGACTGTTATGCCTAAGTTTGATAAAATTCCCTCTGGCCTTAATTGTAAGGCACAAATTAACACTGCAAATTTAATTTTGCACCTTATAATTAGGACCGGAAGGACTACTTGCTGCCGGGAATTGTCAACCGTTGCTTGCCCGGACATGCCGGTTCATGTGTTTGGAAGTCCAGAAAATCAACTAGAGAGGTAGTGTTCCTACATGATTGGACATGGCAATATTGGTGAGTTGTGGAAGCCAGCCAGGTAGTTCAACATGAATTTCTCCTCCTCCTCTTCTTCTCCTAAGAGCATGGGAATGTGGTTGACCCCGGAACTTTTCCATGATATAAGTGGTTGCTTTTGTCACCATTTTCCAAATCATTTTTACATGGGATTGGGACATCATTTGCGACAAGGAAAACAAAAGGGATGCTGAAAATGCAAGTGGGCAAAGGGATTGTGGGAGAATGACGGACAGAATAGACGCCAATGACAGGGGTCCACAAAATCCCAAACCCACCTTACTAAAGTAAGCAGCCCAGCTGGTATCATCATTTGGTAGCGCAGAAGAAGGTGGATTTGCTGTTCTTAGCTTGGTGGCAAAATATGACGCCCAATAGTAAAGAAGCAAACTTGCCACGGCAAAAATCATGGTTTTGGGGTTTGTTTGAAAAGGGGAAGCAGCTTTTCCTTGAAACTTAATTTGGACCAAGTTTAGCAACACGGTGACGATGAATGCGTAAACCGCCTGTCGGGAGGCCATTTTTATTTGGCTCTCATCATCGGCTTGGGACTCTGGGATGTTGTCGGAATGGAAAACAACAACATTGCAATTCTGGAAAATGAGGTAGTTGTTGGTATGATTTGGTGTTTCAGGCATGATTAGATGGAGATTAATCAGAAAAGAAGCAAAAGATAAGCGGGTGTTAATCAATTATTCTGTTACCCGGCGGCTGGAATCCTAGTTTGAACCAAGGGAATTTTCGGTTTTGTTGAGGAGGTTTTGGCCTCAACCTTAAAGATTGATTTATATATAAGAGATTGCATGTTGAGCAATTGCAACATGGCCTAAGGCAAACAATAATAATAATAATAATAATATGGCATAGATTTTCTGTTCCATCCACTCTGACAGTGAGATTATATTCTTTATAATTTACTGCTTATAGGACCCATCAAATGCCAATAGAATTCAAGCTACGTGAAGCATGTAATCACATTTAGGAGAAGGAAACTAAAATCAAACTTAAAAGTTAAAACTTTCGCAAAACACACCCCTTTTCCCCTTTTGATTTATGAAATCTTCCTTTGATTGTCGTTCTCCACAGCTCCATCTTTCGTACTCAGAAAAGGATCGAACTTAAAATATGTTATCTTCGGATCAATCCACGTACACCACTCCCTCATCATCTCTTATGGCACCCAATAAAGGACTAAAAAAATGACAAACCCGTTTGCCTCATCAAATCCCTTAAAAGCTTCCTAGTCTTTTTTTGAAAGGGTAGAACCCCTTTTTCTCTTTGTTCTACAAGTTAAATAATCTTTTATTCATGTTTCACTTATAGTTAATTCAATATTTCAAACAAACATCCAGAATCACTACTATACAGGATCCACCATTCTTGGGGATGATACTGCATAATTTGTATGGCGGAAAATGATCCGAGCTATAAAATTATGAATATGTTATATATGCTAATCAAGGTTAGACTTATGATGTCGTAGACAACAAAGACTTAATAGCTAATTAGAAAAATTAGTATTACTACTAGAGCCATCTTATCACACGTTTCTCAAACTAATTTATGAACTTATTATATGTTTCTAATTATAGTTCTATAAGTCATTCTTCAAAGACGAAATAATTAATTTTCTTAGACAAAATAAGTAATTTTCATAAAATAAAAATACTTTTTTTATAAAAAAATTTATTTCATTCTACGTGTTCGATATTCTAACCGGATACAGAAAGAGAGCGGATGAATAAACAAGTGATGCGAATACGATAGGAGCTATAATAATGTAAACCTGCATAACTTTGTTGAAAACAATAGTCTTACACTACAAAAATCTTAACTAGCTATTTATTCCATCCTGATTGTCCATTTTTTATTTTCATTTTATTAAAATTAAAAAATAATGTAAAAGATCATTTTAGAAGAGATTGAATAAAAGATACTCTTTTTATCAAAAGAAATAGTTCATATTGAATTTTGAGATTTAAACTAGTTTTTTTTTTTTTTTTTGGAAAGAGAGGGAGTATAATACTTTGTTAATTACATACCTGCCACTACTCCCCTAATTAGTCCAGTAACCAAAGAAATGACTACTTTTTTGCATGTACCAAAGCTGATGATTGGCATATCCGATTTTATTGTTAATTTGTTAAAAATAACAAAAATAAATTTACCATTTTCCACACAAATCATCATATCCCTCAATTTCCTTGACTAGTTTCTTTCCCCCTTTTTGAAGAGACGTTGACTATTTAATTATACCCTAAAGTTTTAGGAATGGTCAATAATTAAATTAATCATTTTGGGCCGGAAAAATTGGCGTTCATACCCAAAAAACTTTGGGCTCATCGTTAATTTTACTCTATTGATTTTTGGTTATCCAATTTTGTCCTTACTGTTTTGAATTTTTGTCAATTCTACCCAATCGGTTCAATTTCCGTTAAACATAACGGACTTTCGTTAGTTTTTAACCAAATACACCTCGATAGTTTTAAAAAACTATAAATATAACCCTGAAAATATAAAAATAAAAAAATAGTCCATTTTTATTCTTTTTTTTATTTCATTTTATTTCTCTTTATTACTTTTCATAACCATCAAAATATACTATATGATCTTTAAAAAACTAATTATTTATTTTCAAAATTTATTTTTCATGTGCAACACATGTGATTTGGGTTGAGGGGTAATTTTGTCATTTTAAATTTTAAAAAAATTTTAATTTTATTTTTGTTATTCGTTATTTTTTGAGATTATTTTTCTTATGTTTTCCTGACTTGTATATATTGATACTAGTATATTTATTAAATTTCAATAATTAATTTACCTTTCTATTTGATAGATTATAAAAAAAATTAACATAAAGAAAATGAAAAAGAAAAATCAAATTGAAATTAACATAAAAATTAATAGTTTATCATTCTAAACAAAAATTGAAAAAATCTAAAAATCTGCAAAGAGAATTCTTTCCTCCTTGACTTCCTCTAATTCATAGGTGAGTTATGAAACATAAATTTTACTTGATCTAGCCTAAAATAAATATTTAGTTCGTTGTAATAAAAATAATATAGAAATTAGACAAACATTTGAAACATGAAAAGGTGCTAATTTAATTAGTCCACAATGATGCATTTCTCTAAATTTGCTTAACACTATTTTTATGATTTATATATATATATATATATATATATATATTTTGCCGATTGGCGGTTGCTAAACTACATAAGTAATTATTGAATTCATGAAAAACATAAATACGTGTATTTTTTGCAAAATAATTTCTAAATTATACTAAATGACTTGTATTATTTTTATTACAAAGAACAAACTAATCATTTTAGGCTAGATCATGTAAAATTTATGTTTCGTAACTTACCTATGAAATAGAGGAAGTTGAGGAGAAAATACTTGTCTTTGCAATTTTTTTAAAGGTTTTTTTGCTTTTTTTTTTTTTTAGAATGATAAACTATTTATTTTCATGTTTATTTCAACTTAAGTTTTTAGTCCTCATTTTCTTTATGTTAAAGTTTTTATAATCTATGAAATAAAATGGTAAATTAATTATTAAAATTTAATAATTATTCTAGTATCAATATATACAAGTCAGGAAATATAAGAAAAAGAATCTCAAAAAAAGGACGAATAAAAAAAAGAAATTAAAATTTTAAAAATTTAAAATGACAACATTTCCCCTTAATCCAAATAACATGTGTTGCACATGAAAAATAGATTTTGAAAATAAATTATTATTTTCTTAAAGATCATATAATATATTTCGATAGTTATACAAAGTAATAAAGAGAAATAAAATGAAATAGGAAAAAATGAATAAAAATGGACTATTTTGTTATTTTTATATATTTTTAGGTTTATTTTTATAATTTTCTGAAACTATCGAGGTATTTTTGGTTAAAAGCTAACAGAAATCCATTAAATTTAACGGAAATTGGACCAATTAGATGGAATTGACCAAAATTTCAAACAGTAAAGACAAAATTGACTAACAAAAAATCAATAGGATAGAATTGACGATGTGCCCAAAGTTTCGAGTATGAATGCCAATTTTTCCATTCTGGGCCTCTTAAAATTTCATAATAATTTCCTAACAGAACCTCTTTCTTTTGTGGACGTTATGTTTTTATTATATTCTGGACCTCTTTTTACAGATGTTGAACACTGAGATTTCCTCTATTGCTAATACTCCTATAGGGTAAAAGCCGCAATACCACTGTGTAATTGTTTCGAATATAAAAAACTATCTCTACTTCTATTTACAATATAACTAGGTGAAGTGGTTGCACGCTGTGCAGCGAAAAGGGGAGTGGTAGCCCATCGAACAGGATGCACGTTGTTAAAATATTAAGGTACAATAGTTCGTACAATTCTGCAGCTGTAACAGCAGTATGTGTCCATTTAATGTATCGACTTCTCCTTTCTTTCAATTGATTGATGGAAATCAATTGAGCTTGACTTTAACCAAGTACTCCCTCGATCTTCCATTCAACCGATTTTGAAAATCAACACCAATAACAGTTGGAGTACTCCTAGTAATATTTTCCATGTCTAGTCAGCCCTTTTAATAATAATCATAGCAAAATTTCAATAGCCGGCACAATTGAATCATGTCAATTCCTACCAGAACATTGGCTTCAATGAGGAAAAATTAGCCGATTTACCCAAAGGTTGATATGCGTTATCAATTTCACCCTATTCTTTTTCGATTAGCCAATATTACCCTAAGCTATCCAACCGTTAGCCGATTTTGTCCAATTGGCCAATTTCTGTTTAAATTAACGGAATTCTGTTAGTATTAACTACAAAAAATACCCTAATAGTTTTGAAAATTATAAAAATAACCCTTAAAATTTGTAAAAATAACCAAACAGTTTTTTTACACTTTTGATTTAATTTTTTCTGTTTTCTATTATTATTATTATTTCTCATACCTATAAAAATATATTATATGATCTTTTAGAAAAAACTATTTATTTTCAACACTACTGTTCAAATTTATAGATATGTATATTTTTAACTCATGGTTGATTTACATAAACATATCAATGTTTTAATAATATAACTTGACAATAATGATATTAGCTTTTTTAATCCTTTTTTCAATTTAAAGAATAATATTTTTGACTAAAAACGAATTTTTTACAAAAAAGTAAAACATTTAGCATAGATTAAAAATTAATATATTAGTATATTTTAATTTATTACAAATTGAATAAACAAACTATAGATTGTATTATCCAATTCAAAAAATTACTAAACTAAAATATAGTGTACAATCTATTGTTTAGGGTGTTGAGCTTCATGATAGTAGATATAAGATTAATTCTCACCACGGATTTTTAACCAGAAGAGTGATTTTATCTACATTTATGCATGGTTTACTAAAGGTGAGAGAATTGAGTTGGACGGTCAGGTGATTTAAGATGGGAGATGATTATTACTGTGTTCGAGGCCTCAATTCTCACTGGGGCGATCTTTTTTTTTTAAAGGTGGAGTCCAGTACTGGAGCAGATTTTTTTTATTATTATTAAAAAAAAATTTCCTGCTAAAGTTAGATGTTAATATCTCAAAAAAATTATCACGAAATGTTAAACTCTCGCAATGATAAATATACATATTTTTTATAAAATATTTTGTACCTTTTTTTTTACTTTCTGTTTGTACTTGGCCTTTTAAAGAAAATGTATATTTTAGTTTAATTATTTTTTTAATTTTACAATACAATCTAAATTTTGTTGAATTATATTGTAATAATACATTAAAGTATACCAATAAAAAAAATTTAATCTATGCTAAATGTTTTATTTTTTGTGCAAAATTTAGTTTAGTTAAATAATCTTATTTTTTAGATTGAAAAAACATAGATTAAAAAAATAATATTATTACTGTTAAACTATATTATTAAAAAATTAATATGTTTATGTAAATCAACCATGAGTTACGAATATGCATATATATAAATTTGCACAATAGTGTTTTAAAAATAAATAGCTTTTTTTAAAAAGATTATATAATATATTTTTATAGTTATGAGAAATAGTGAAAAGAAATAGAAAACAGAAAAAAAATTAAATAAAAAGTGAAAAAAAAAAACTGTTTGGTTATTTTTACAAACTTTTGAGATCATTTTTATAATTTTTAAAACTATTAGGGTATTTTTTGTAATTAAAACTAACGAAATTCCGTTAATTTAAACGAAAATTGGCAAATTGGACAAAATCGGCTAACAGTTGGATAGCTTAGAGTAATATTAGCTAACCGAAAAAGAATAGGGTGAAATTTGACAACGCATGTCAACCTTTGGGTAGATCGGCCAATTTTTTCGCTTTAATGGAGTAAATATAATTTGCATACGGTGGAGTGATAATCCTGTCAATACCTTCCCAATCCGAGATCATGAAGCCAACAGAACTCATCATCAAACTAAAACCACCACTGGCACTCAAAACCTTTTCAAACAATGGAACAATGGTGGAGTTTGAGCTGAAATATATGCTGTCAAGGGAATATCGCATATTCACGGATGCAAGTAAGCATTTGTAATATTGCAAATCAAAAGGGAAGAAAGAACACTGTATTATGGATACGTCCAAATATTCTCTGCAATTCTTGATCAATGGTCAGTCATCATATGCCAATAACGAGGAAGCAACTGATTCTTAATTCATGCTTCAACTGGAGGCCTTGCAACTCGTAACTGTGAGGAGACTTTGCTAACATTTATCTCCAGTCCAACAACCATAATGGACTTTTGTGGTTTGGGCAATAGATGTAAAGGTTTGGACCCCTGTGGAACGGAAGGAATGGAATCTCCTGGGGCAAAAAAGGAGACGACATCAAGGTAATATTCAAACAAGTCTGCAGGAAACAAAATAAAGCTTATGAAACAGCAGTGAAGTATTAGAGCCAAAGTTGTTTGATAGCATGATGAGTGCTTCATTTGGAGCTCACAGAGCAAAGTCCGTAGAACAACGAGACTCCATCATAAAACTCATTTGAAAAGATCCTATTACATTCTTTGAGGCAAAAAATCAAACAGTTTATATGCAAATTTAGCAATGTGATTTGGGGCACATGGGAGTTTTCTAATAGACTAATACGCATATTTAGGCTATATTTCACGTAACAACAATTCACAATCTCAAATCAGATCAAATCGGCAAAACACAACACCTTCAAAAATTTGATGACCCTCAATCGCATCAAATCGGCCACAAAAAATCCGCAATTTATGAGCATAGAATATGGCAAACAAAAATCTTATCTTAAGTTTAGTTTCCTATTTAAACCAACGAACTGAAATACATAGGCGAAGGTTCTTTAAAGCAGAGGCGGTTGGCAAATTTTGAAGAGTTAACGAATCTCAAATCTAAAATGGGAGAAAATACTGATATGGCTCATGAATTTGACCATTGAAGGACAGATCTGGTTACTTGCCGATCATCAATCGTGTAGAATGATCTCTTCCCGACGTTTCCGTTCGGGCATCAAGCGATGCTTGTTCTCTTCCTGTCCGGGTTGACATATCTTCAACATTGCCAATCCCTACTTCATTTTCAATTTTGAGGCCAACCAGAAAAATTTGCACTCGGTAAGTCGGTATCGAGGATTGAGTAGTACAAATCAAATTCTTCACGTGAATTTGGCTATTCCAGTTGTTCTTTTAATTTGCCGAGTCTGCAAGGTTAATGGCAACAGAAGACAGAGAAAAGAAACGGCAAGGAGCAGTGAAGTTCCCCAGAGCAATGGACATCCAGTAGCAGACGGACACGTGTTGGAATTTGGACCGGACTCTGGACCAAAACAGGCCTTTCGCCGACGGAACTGTCCCTTTATATATTGTAGACTAGGTTGTGTGGCCGCACATTCTGCGGCGGGAGGTGAATCATAACCAAGATTTGCAGTACTATTTTCATTATTACTACCTCTGTCTCAAAAACTAATCTGCATTAAATTTTCAAATTTGTATTAAAAACAATGCAAAATTTAAAATTTAATGTAAACTATTTTTATGGGACGGAGAGAATATCTTTTTGGTACAAATTATTTTTATTTGTTAATAAATTTCTATTCATTTCATTTGATTGCTTGTAAAATATTCGAGATTCTCTTCTAGTAATTTTTTACACAAAACAAAGTACAAAAAATGTAAAAATAAACTATCCCTCAGTTTCACCCCAATCAATGACCATGATTTTTAAGAACATGGCAGATTTTCGCTTCACAGTTAGTTAACAACTAGATATAACTCGTGTAATCACAGGTACTCCAATAATTTTTATATGTGTTCGACCGGCGTTACTTATATAAGTAATGATTCTAAAACGCTTGATGTATTTGACAACTAAGACTAAAATTTATTTTTACCTAATTAACAATCCAAATTAATATATTTAACAACTCAGACAAAAAACAGACGTATTTAATAACACAAACCAAAAATATTATATCTATTCTTCATAGTTGAATTGCAAAGAAGTTTTGAATGTGAACAACGATATTCTTAATTTACAAACACCTAATATAGTTAATTTCTGATCATTAATTGAACTGAAAAGGAAGATTTGTAAATTTAGAGAACATCCTAAAGTATAGATTTTATAATTTCTTTGGTATGTTTAACCTAAGTAATCACAGGCTATCCAATCAATTGTTGTCAATGTTCTAGAGGCGGGATTGATAAAAATTAAGATAGTGGTTATTCGACGTATTTGATGCGTTTAATAACCTAAACATAAAATGTGGTTTATAAGTAATACGAATTTCCTAAACTAAATATTAATGAGGATGCAGTTTTTTTCCCCTCTTCTAAAGCTAAACTATGAGTACATATGTAACATCAAGAAATCCTATCAATCAACTTCACTTACCACGTAAATGTCAAAAATAATTAAAGACCATAAAGATAACGTTTAGGGTAAAAGTCAAAAATCAATGTTTGATTTGCCACCTAGTTTGGCTTTTGTGGAATCAATCATAAGTGAATCTAGTTTGGTTTTTACCATCCCATGCTTGATAAACAAATGCCACCTTTGAAGAAGTGTATAACCCCTAAGCAATGAACCACCAATTATTTTCAAAAAAAAAAAAAAAAGATAAATAAATAAATGAACAAACAATAATGTATCAGAGACTCGAGATTCCCCGAAAAATGTAGTTTTGATTGTTGAAAGTTAGTAGGAAGGCACGTGGGAATATTTCTAATATAACCATTATATAATCCTTTTGTTATTACAGTGGATGATTTTATCACCATAATAAGTCAATAAAGAATTATCACTGACCTATTGCATTATTTTTTGGAACTCTTTGTGCATGTTTATCTTGCCATGATTGTCGAATATCTTTCCCAAAGTTATAAATTGAAGGGGTGCAATGAAGGTTATCTGAAGCAAGTCCACCCTTGCCAGATCTGTGAATATGAAGACGGGCAATGCATGCTGCAAGAATTGTTTTCTAACAAATTAATATCTAAGACATTGTAGACAAGAAAGTATAAGATTGTATTAAGTTCAAAGAGAGGACCTTCAAAGAGCACCCAAAACAACATCTGTGGTGCAAATTCTAACTGCTGCTCCAAGTGAGCAATCTCATCTAGTTACCCCTTATTTTCTGCGCACTGACAAAAGAAAAGAGCATCAGGTGGAGAATGCAACGTGACCATCAAGACGTTATATACAAAGAAATGTCAACTTTAAAAGAAAGTTTTTACATGTGTAAAAATGCGTAAGATGCAAGCTGACACAGACCTTGTTCTGTAACTATAATAGTAAAGCTTGAACATGAAAATCATTTCTCGCCAGAAACCAGGAGGATCCCCTGAACATGAACTCAACGGAGCATCTGCTCGTCAGTTTAGCATGTTCTAAACTGAATGTACTGTAAAGTGCAAGGCCAAGACCTATGAAAATAAATTGCTCAAAAAGATTCCTTCAAAAACCAGTCATCAGAACATAGACCATACATTGTTGCAGGTATGTGACAGTCTCACCTTTTAAGTTTGGACTTCGTATTCCATTACACAACAAAGAAACTCTAAGCAAATTAGTTTTATAGATCACCCCTATATAGAAGCCGCAATCTTACAATCATCTATAGCAATTTCTACAAAAAAATAATGGCATGCATGATCATATTTTCTAATTGCTTAGCATTGAGCATGCACATCACAAACTGCATAGTCTATTCGATATACCAAAATGAGCTACATATGTCATAGGCAAAAATAATTAACAAATTTGAGTTAGATACACAAATGAACCCATCATAAACTAAAATGCTAAATGCTTCTTACCTTGTGCAAGGCAAATACAAGCTCCCTTGTAGTGACATTGTAGTAACTGTTGTAGTTAACATGTTGCAATTACGGAACTGGTAAAAGGCCATATTTTTCTGAATATACTCTGAAAATTGAACCCTGTAATCACCACAAGAAAATAAGAATCAAACTGTGAAGTCAACAAAACCAAAAAGAACAATTGTTTAACATGCAAGAATCCTAAAATAGCAATATCCTTCAACTGAATAGGATACTTCTGACAGAAAAACACAAACCTTGATCTCACACTTGACTTTAGGTTTCATGCAGCCAAATAGGGACCTCGAAACTGGATAGATATTTTTCAAGGGTCCTTTCATTGGCAAAGTAAGGAGCATTTTCCCCATGCGCTATTTCCCGAATTGCGTCGAGTCTTTCCAGCTGATTGTTCGTGGAAGGGTTTAATGAGTTCCGGCATATGCCCGAAATCAAATCCTATAAATCAGATGCGGAAAATTTGTTTATGCAAAGTTGATTGAAAAAAGTCTGATACCTAAAACTGAAAAAATCGCAAATAAGAACTAAACATATCAATCAATCACCATAAAAACCATAAATAAACAGATCAATCACCACCAAATGATTGAATGCACATATCGTTGGGCCAAATTGTAAAAAGACTATTAACTCAAGATAATACAAAGGTAACATTATCTACTGATTCTTAGTTTCCTTAATCTTCGACAAAATCATAGGATAGATGTGTTTACATATATGGTGAAATTTTGAGAACTAAAATTGCTTCTTTAAGATATGGCATATAAGGCATACAACTGAAGCAGAGAACAAACGATTTGTAAAACAAGCAAGCTTTCTGATTCATTAGTTTCCTTCACGAGTATTAGAACAAATCACCAGCAGAAAATCTTATAATCCAACAACTAACCATGGCCCATGTTTATAAAGAAAAGAAAAAAAATTTGATGCAGAGCCAAGGAAATAAAATACTACATAATGTAACATGCAAAAGGCAACAAACAAATAAAGTAGCTCACATTGTTGTGGCTTGATCTTGTTGACCCATCAACAACAAACAACTTTTTCAAAAGAACACACAAATCAAAGTATTACAATACATTATTTTACAAAGACATAACAAACACTAATGTCGTAATTCAACATTATAGCTTCTACCATATCATAATGGAATTGAAAATGATACTACCGGAGAAGCAATCACAAGTCGGCAGACTGCATCCTTCAAGTCATAACTGGAACCAGGAGAAGGAACACATAGCTGAAGGAAATGGGGAAAACCATGACTTAAGATCAAGTCTCATCTTGTCCTCCAGAAATAGATAATCACCTTAGACATATACATTAACATTCCAGAAAGATGAATAAGTTAATCTCTCTCACAAGTAGGCTGAGAACCCTACTGATTTAAAATTGAGAAAAAACACAAAGCCAAAAGAAATAAATAAAATCTTCAAGATCTTTCTACTCATGAAAGATAATCTGGAACTTTTGACAAAAATCAAAAGAGGGTCATCATACCTTGCAGCTAGAAAAATTTAAGCATATCAATGGAACCGATAGA